ATTCATCTCTTCATGCCACAGTCTCCCCATCTGTAAAATACAGTTGATGGTACATTTGTCACAATGGACGTTTGAGGCTAAATTCTTCAATGTTTGTAGTGTTTGGGGATGTAACACTGGGAAGGACAAATTACTAAATGCTGCAATGCTGCATGCAGAATTATGCTGACTATGCCTTTTTAGACACTGATCCCTTACTGCCTGTAGACTAATACTGCAGGTTGGTCCAATTTTAGTCAATGATGCCTTTGACTTCACTGTTTCTGGAATTGGTCTGGAACAGAATAATGTATTTCGTGTTTGATGGTTATGCTAATTGATGAAATAAATATTCCCCAGACTGCCCCTAGAATACCCTGACTTTACAGTTACCTTAGGCTGTACAAGCTGGCCTTTCAAAAAGCTTGATTTTTGGAGGCAAAGTCTAACAGTTTATGCATGGAATACACACAGTACCAGTGGAAGAATCAACAAAAAGAAGGCTCATCCTTCCAGATATATATTAGCAGAAGTCAAAGACCTGCCAGGAACTGGCTCATTTCCTAAGCATTGCCCATCAAACCTCTTTGCCCATAGCAGCTGTGACCAGGTGGTGTGCTGGGTTGCCATGAGCAAATGTATCTTTTGTTAGGTAAACCACAGCTACGTTTTTCTAAACAATAATTTTTTTAATGTTTCTAAATGTGTTTTCCTATCAGCACTGCTGGTAGATCATGTATGGAATATCATTAATTATCATGTATAACATGTCTGTTCTCCTTCTTATTGCTGACCTCCCATGTAAATACCCATGTGGTTCTTTGCTGCTCTGGGACTGTTGCAGCAGATGCTTTTGCTTTTTCTATTGCTGTAAACAAGCTGTTGTGACTGATACTTCTTTTCACCATATGTCCCGAACACTCCCAGTTCATAGCTATATGTCATTTCCAGGATGCTTTGTAGGGTGTGTATGCCTCCACCCCATTTCAAAATCGATGTAACTCTCAATGGATTGACTAATGGCTGCAAGGTGTTACTTCGCATGCTGGTTTTGGCTGACAGTGCTACTAAACCAACAGTTGTTTGCTTAACGTGTCTTTCATGGTTCCCATGTGAAGTAACTTTTCCTGACAAATTGAACATGCCAATGGCTTCAGGTTTGCTAGGAAGCGTTTATCTGGCATGCTGCTGAGACCAAAAAGAAGTATGACTCTAACTTGTTGCCCTGCATGTTGGTTATTTTGCCATGTCCCTTAGCCATATCCTATGTTTCTATTGTCCTCATACGTTTTGTTGTGCTGATCTCATCGTCGCTGCATCCATCATGAATCTGTAGAGTAGGAGTGGGTGGTGAGAACTAACGAAAACTGTAATGTACTTTTAAGGGTGTTGTGCTGATGCAATGTGTAAGACATTGCAATTCTGTCCCACTGTGGAACTAGGACTGATGTCACACTTTCTTATTTGTAGTCATTTATGTTGTTGAGTTAGACCATTCTCAACCCTCTTCATGGAATCGGATATGCAGCACCAAAGAGAAATTGCTTGTGTACAGCAAATGCATTTACTTTATTACAGTGGGTGGACATGCCTTATTATTCACCTGTGACGTGTTGACCTTCCAGAAGGTCTACCTGGCATTTCAGTAATAACATATGTGATGGCACAGTATTGAGTGTGGTCAGGAATGGTGTCCCTACTAATCATTTTAATGAAAGCAATCATCTGGAGGTGAACAGAAACTGAATTTAAATTGTAAACGTGAGAGAAGTTAAACTACAGGAAAGAGCATTCTTTGAGAACCTCTCTCATCTGACTCTCTAGGTTTCTGTATGAGATGTCCTCTATATGAGGAGTCCTCAGTACAGGAAAGACTTGGAGCTGTTGGAACGAATCCTGAGGAGCGCCATGGTGTGGGGGCTGGAGCACCTCTCCTGTGAGGACAGGCTGAGAGAGTTGGGGTTGTTCAACCTGGAGAAGAGAAGGCTCCAGGGAGACCTTATATCCCTTTCCAGTACCTGAAGGGGGCTACAGGAGAGATGGGGAGGGACTCTTTATCAGGGATTGTAGCGATAGGACGAGGGGTAACAGTTTTAAAGTGAAAGAGGGGAGATTCAGATTAGATTTCATAAGGAAATTTGTTACTCCAAGGGTGGTTAGACACTGGAACAGGTTACCCGGACAAGTTGTGGATGCCTCATCCCTGGAGGTGTTCAAGACCAGGCTGGATGGGGCTGTAAGCTGGTCTCGTGGGAGGTGTCCCTCCCTTCCAAACCAAACCAAACCAAACCAAACCAAACCAAACCAAACCAAACCATTCTATGATTCTATGGCTGGCTGAGCCTATGTCATATGTCCTGCATAGCTGCACTACCCCCGTAACTTAATGTCTTGCTATTGGGAAAATAGCTGGTGTGTAAGACTTTTTTTTTTTTTTTTCTTGATAACTGGTGAAATTGTTCACCTTGCCTTTGTCAAATAGCATACTAGCTCTTACTGTGTTAGGTATATGGCAGCAGGCTGTGTTATTGTAGTCCCATAGCTAAGGGAGGGTTTGGTATAATCCTTCTCTTGAGGTTAGTACAGATGTCTACATGCAAATTTTTGTAGCTCCACAGTAGCAGGGGCAAAGCTGATTCATGTGATATAATGCAGCTTCTCAAACATCTGTCCTTTATATATCTGTCCTTTATAACAGTGTAAGTTACAGTTCCTGCTCACATAGGTAGAGTTCTTTAATTCTGGAAGTTGGAGTTGAGAGAACCACTGTTTGAACTAATATCGGCTGTGCCCTTCTCTTCACCTCTCATTCTGAGGGTGTGATTGAAGATGCTACGTTGGTGAATTTCTGTGCTCAAATCTTCCATGAGTCAAGAAAAAGATAAAAAGAGCCTGATGTGACTATATCAATGTATAAAGTAGTCCCTGTGGAGAGGAAAAGATTATTGACATCGTCTTTGCTACAGATGGATGGCTGGAATCAATGTCCACATAATGTCTTTTACTCTCTGTGTGACTATCAGCAACTCAGAAGCACTTGTTTGGGGTTTTTTTTTTTTTGGAATACGCAGCTGGATCTTCTGTATGGTATCTGGCCATAATGCTCTTATTCATGATGAGGGCAGATCTTAGAGACGGGTTGTGATTTGGGCTGTACTTGTGAGTGTGGGTCTGTGTTTATATGTTATTTTTAAGTTAAAGAGAGAATGTCTGTAAAAATAACCTGGTGGAGTTGTTTCAGAAAGGAATATGTTTGCACTACGTGTTGTCCAAATCAAATCATTACTTTATAATTTGTTGGATTTTAAATGTATTTTTTATGGCCAAGTTTCTTCTCCAGCCGAGTACTGAACAACGTTGGTTTTGACTGTGATAGGCCTGTTTTCGCAGCAGTTTGCTGTGATGCTGACACAGGCAAATCATTTGAGTGTGTATGATTGACCCCATTCTCCGGGCACAGGCTGTTCTATTTTCCTGTGTTCCCTTTGTCAAGTTTCAGAGGATGAGGACTGGACGCTACTGCTTGGCTCTATGCACAGTCTGACCTTGGGTACCAAGGTATTCCCGAGTCTTTCCCATTCTCAGTTGGGTGTTGTGGTAGGTCATCTTTTCTCTCCAGGTGCCTCTGAAAACTGCAGGGTCTCACCTGGCAGTGTGTGGGTTTTCTTATTTTTCTTCTTGCCACAACTCATGTCTCCCTAATGTAAAAGTTCCAAACTGGCTTTACTCTTGGAAGGAATAATAATTCTATGGATTGCTTTGCTTTGATTAAAAGGAAAATAAAGTTTTCTTGGTTATGTATGATATATATCTCCAAAGCCCACTTTTACAAAAACATGTATTGTTTCTTTGGCTCCTGAAATATATTCTGTATGATTTCAAAGGTCTCTGTAAACTCTGGAACCTGTAAGTGATTTGATGAAGTGGACCATTTTTTTTTTAGTGGCTCTTTTTCTGTCTTTTGCAATGAATAGTGTGGTGGTCTGAAAGGGGCAGAATTTAATGTGTGCAGTAGGGGAAGAGGGACTCAGCAGAATTGGTGCTTACCCTTTTTTTTTTTTTGGATTGGCATGTTTTGCTATATGTTTGGGATAGAAATAGCCTTCGTCTGGTTCAGAAAATGCTTATTATTAAGGATTTGACAGATGTCTACCATCTCTCAGAGTTTGTGCTGTTGCTGATCATCATTGTGTAGCATAGACCCCACCACCTGTAAGCTAGTTTTTATGAAGACCTGTCAAAGGTACAATTCCCTAGAATTTAATATTGGCTTGAGAAACAGAAGGGAAAACTCTTAATTATTGTTTTCTGGGGGTTCCCAAAGTGCTTTTTGCATTCTTGGAGTAATTTAATATTGCCTATGTGATGACTTTCCTTTTATTTCCAGTCATTTATTCTTCAGATCATTCCAGATGCAATTACTGTAAGCAGATGCTTTTCAAGAAACTGTGTTTGTGCCTGTCTGTATGGCATAATGCTGTGTGTTCACACAGCACACGTAAAATTGAGGTGGTTTCGGTTTATGTTAGCGATCTGTACTGCTTTGGCTGGCGTTAGCACAGTGATCATACATGCAGATGATAAACTTCTGTAAAGCTGATTCAAAAATGATGAGTGCGTGGAGGTTTTTAGAAATCTCTTTCAGAAATTGTTTCTGTTTCCCAGTCATCTTCTCACTTTTGGGACAGAGTCATATTCTTTGGTTTCATTCACGCTCGGTGTTACGCTGGTTGCTGTTAACACGTTGACCTTTACCACTCACGGAAGTGAATTTGACTGCAGGGGTTCAGGTTTTCCTATTGGTAAAGTGAGAAACACACTGTATACAGCAATGACTTAAATGACACTGGAACACCAGATTTTATAGTTGTTTTTGCTGAAATAAGTAATAACCTGGAGGTTATGATTTCAGAGCAGGAAATCCAATTGGTGTCAAAAGAAACTGAGATTATGCTTATGAATTTTTGCCTGATGTCTCTTGCTTGCATAATAAATAACATTCTATTTCCTATTCCTTACAGATAAAACGAGAAAAACCAGAAAATATACCAGATCTAAAACATTTAGTACACGAAAAATTTACTGCACTGGAGAGCAAGAACACAGACTCAGATTTGCAGAAGAATGAGAAATATATATATTTTAAGGATCAACTTAAAGAGATGAGAAAACAATGTAAGTCTTATTTTTTAAAATATACATTCTTTGCATGCTAAATGGTAAGATGTGACAGCTGTGAAGTACAGAACTGCCAATTAGGGCTCAATCTGAGGTGAATGTATTTATTTAAAACTTATTTAAATTGATATCTGTGTAGAAGAAAAAGGCAGTGTAATTACCTTGGTAGTTTCATTTAGACTCAGACAGTTCCTGCTGTGATTGAATAAAAAAATCATGAAAATCTTGCTTCTCATCCTTTTTTTTTTTTTGTAAGGTGGGCTTTTTCATTTGAAGATTTTTTTGGTTTTTTTTTCTTAATTGATAGGATCTTCTGAAAGGATTAGGTAAGGTGTTTTCATTTGTCACTTAAACAAATTGCTCTTGTTTCACAACTGAGGATGTGTTGCAACTCTAAGAAGACCTTTGCTTTAATCGTAGAACTATATTGTTGGAAAATGCTTACTGTGTGTGTTCTCAGGTTTACAGCTTCTATGCACGCACCATGTAACACTGCAATTTATTAAAATCTCGTTTTCTTAATCCACATGATTTATCAAGTGTTAAAATTTTAAGTTATTTATGCTTAAATTACCAGAAAAGTTGGAGAGTCAACAGTTCTAATATTTATGCAACACAACAAAATTGTGTGCTTTTATTGCCTTGCACATATATCAGCCATTAAAATCTCCCTGTGATTACTGTTGCCGGGAAAGTTCATGGGCTCTAACATTATTTGTGCTGTTCTTCCCCAATCATGATTATGTTTTGAAATCATATTATTCTGCTTGCCGTCCCTTGACCCCTGTACCTATTCCCTCCCACCCTGCATTTTGATTTCAACATAAACTGGTATCTCAGGAACTTCAGGAGTCATAGATTAATGATTTATACCATTTGAAAATGATATTCTGGGTGCTCTCCTGTAGCTCTCCTTGAGTTTTGTTTTTTTGGAGCCCTATCCAAAACCCACTGAAACTAGCGGAAAGAATTTTCTTGCTGACTTCACTGGACTTTGGATTACTTCCCTATAGAGATTTATGAAGTGTGAGGACATGCTTGACAAGGTGAATTTTAGATCTGATATCTCGAGACTCCCTAGGATTAGAGCTTGAGGGCTTAATATATTTGTTTCCCATCTTTATGTTTTTAAAGATTTTGGATTTGAGTATTAGCGCTGATCTCTGAGTTAAATAGGCTCTTGGCATTACTCTAAGAGTGAAAATACCAAGTTGCAGACCACAAAACAGTGTAATTTTTACTCCCTACATAACCATAAAATTATTACTACCCCACCATTATGTTGTAATTCCTAATTTCCAGGTTTTTGTAGCTGAGAAGATATAATCTTGATAACTGACTTTGGATTTACTTTCCACCCTGTAATTGCCTGAGGAAGGGGTGTATGCCCTAGTAATACATTCAGCTCAGGCTACGGGGCTGAGTTCTAACTGGCAGGCCTGTTGAAAAAAACCCAAATTAAATAAACACAAGAAGAGTTATTCTTTAAGAAAAAAAATAATATGAGGACATCAATGTGCTAATACTGCCTGAAATCCAGGTTTGTCTTAGTAGCCACTTGGACTTCTGTCTTGGTTGCGCATAGAGGTCAGGCATCATGCGTGATGATGTTGGATGGGCTGTTGCGTTCAGTACGTGGGCTATTGATCAGTTGGGTCAGCTTGGGTTTTGTAGAATTCATGCTGGTTTTGATGAGGTAAATCCATCACATTTGCTCCTATTTCAGCATTTAATGCAATGTAAAAGGTTGAAGGGAAAATTGTTTGTTAGCTGTCACAGTCTTGGATGCAATATAATGATCGTGTATTCAAATAAACAGCCTGGTTCAGCCCACCTTCTTTTGGAATGGATAGCTAAATGCCACCTCAGGGCTGCAGGTAGGAAGGGGGTGGAAAATTCAAAGTTAAATCTTTCAAAGCAAACTGTTTAATGCCTTAAACTTGAGCTAGTGTTAAAAAATCTGTTGATCCACCATAAAGTCACTTTCCTACTTTACTTTCCCCTTCAAAAGGCTCTTTTACCAAGAAGGCTCCCAGAAATTCTTGGGTAATAATGGGTGACTGAAGATCAGTGGAGTCTGTTTATATTCCCATATGTAAATTTGCTTCTCTGTGACCCAGTGACCTGTAACCAGTAAGACTGTCCAGTTTCTCTATTTATTATAACTATGTGATCTTCTTGCCATTACCCTTATTTTCCCTCTCTCCTTTTGTGTGGTTTTCTCACTCATAGCTAGCCTTTAAAAACACCCACAGAGCTGAACATCACAAATTTATTCTCAAGCTTAAAAACGGCAGATACCCTCATTCTTACAGAATCGGGGCCTCGGGGCTTAACATCTTTGTGAGAGGCTAAACTGACACGTGTACTCCATCTGGTACAAAAAGCCTCTTCTCATTGTTGGGCTCTACATAGTAAATTATTCTGCTGAGATGTGTAATTGAGCACTGTCAATATTATTTAAAATATCATATATATCATATATGTAGCACACCATGTGTACATGTTGGTTTATTTTTCTTTTGTAAGGAGAACATTAATGTTAAATGCTCAGCAGCCATGCTTAATTCAAGTCATCTGTGTATTTTTTAGCTTCTCCTGGATGAGTTGTGATTTCAAAAGCCTGAATCCTACAATACAGGTCCCAAAATAGGGCAATTATAACATGTCTGCAAATTTTGAAACACGCTTTAAAAGTACTTGGTGTGAGTTACATATATCAACAACTTTATCAACAGCCACCTGGATAATATTTTGTTTTCAACTATTAATCTTGCTGGTTTGGGCACAAGTGAGTGCGTAACTGTGCCCTGTTTCAAGCACACATCTACAGTACAGTCCAATTTTTAGCTCTTTTCTGGGATTTGCTTTTATTGCTAAATTAGACGAAATACCAAAACTCCAGCCAAGTTTTCACAGAGGAGCTTTCCTGGAGTTTCCTTTTGTCCCAGCCTTTTCTGTCTCAAAGGAGCAGATGGAGTAGATGCTAAAGTGATTTGCCTTCCATGATGAGTTACCATTAATCATTACATCTCCTTTATGCAGAGTTTGACATTTCTATTCCAGAATAGCTGAACAAGAAAATGTTATATTCTCACATTGTCTTTCTACTTAGAAATTAGGATTTGAAGGAGAAAAACTTTCTTGACACAAAGTTTTTAGGTACGGTACGGAGTGTGAAACGGTTAATGATAACCTTATTTTAACAGAAAATTAAGAAAGCTAATTTTTTTCTCTCTTGGTATTTGCTGCCACGGTGATGAAAGGGAGCTGCATGGCTGTTCCCTGCCACCTGACAGGTGACACGCAGCGCGGTGGGGAGTTCTCATACTCAGGGAGGAGAAAGGCAAAAAGGGAAAGGAGAAAATCCCCTTCAGATTGTCCTCTTCTCTAGACAATTCTGCAGGAAGAAGACCTTCTTAGCTTTGAACTTCAGCAGCAGTGGAGGTGCAGAAATGAGACTGGGAAAGTGCATCTCTGTTGCAGTAAGGATAATACTGTGCCTCAGAGCAGTTTCTGCTCATCTTTCAGACACTTTGCAGGCATTTTCCCTCAATCTGTGAGCCCTTATTATGCAGCTACTTTTGCCGGGATTTGTGCAAAATGATACAAAATCTCCACCTCTGATGATATGTGTCAAAACACTGTCAGACAGGTTTTATGTGAACAGCAAGTGATTTTTCTGAAGTCTGTTTTCAGAACTATCTTACATTCCTAAATTCCCACTTCTTATTTTTAATGGCAAACATTTTCCTTTTTCTACTCAAACCTGCTTAGAATGTAAGCAGTAGAATAGAAGTGTTGATTAGTTTTTAAATTTATTTTTTTTAACCATTTCTTATACCCCAAAATGACTACATTACCTTTTCCAAATAGTTGAACATTTGAAAGGATACTCACTAAATCTGGTAATATCAGAAAGTTCTAAAGAATTGCATGTGTAGTTTGTAAGAAAAAATTGTTGTGACCTTAACCCTACATGACTCCTCACACATAAGGGTCCTGGACCTGCACAGTGCTTAGTGATGGCCTTTTGATTAAGTGAAATGCTTAAGCAAGTTGCTTAAATTAAATTGCATGAGTAGATCCTTTGAAATGAGTGAGATTGCTGGCATGTTTCACTTCCTTATTGGATGTAACACAGTGCAGAACCTTGCAGGACTGAGCCCATAGGAACTGAGTCGTGATGACTGCAGGAATTGTAACTTTGCATTTTGTATCTTCTGTAAATTTAAAATCCCACCTTCTGTTTAAAGTTGCATTGCCGAGTCTTTTTATTTCATGCCAGTATATATATATCAAAGGCATCTTCTGGCACACAGTATGAGAATTCTGGCTTCGCAAAATGAAAGTAAGAGCTGCCTTTAATCTCCACGTATCAGTTTAAATTTCTGATACTCTGTGAAAAGACCTAATCAGAAGGTATAATCTCTACTCCTGTGACCCGAGCTGCCACCGCTGTATTTGCTGAAGGTTATTTAGTTTCACGTTGGGTGCACAAAGGATGACAGGTTTCATGGCCCTTTTATAGCAGCTGATAACATGCACTTTGGAATCCTTGATAACTGGGGTCTGTGCGAACACCCGGCAGCTGCGTGCCTCGGGAGTCATTGGGTGGAAAGTGCTAAGATTTGAGTGAATGGCAATATCACTGGTTGTGCCAAACAATTTAAGGAGTGAATTTGGAAAATGTAAGAACTTTTTTTTTTTTGATAGGGAACAAATAATTTTGAGACTTTGTCATAGGAAACCAGTCGCTGTAATGTAGTTTGGAAGGCAGCAGCACTGCAGTTGTAAAGCTCATCCCTGCCTTCTCCACTGAAGAAAAAAAGTCTCAGAGGTTTTCAAAGGAGAAAGTATGTATCATGATTTAACGTTTTGTTAGGAGAGGCTCACAGTCATTATCAATAAGCATATATTTGCAAAATAGAACTTTTAAAATTTAATATTTAATGTTCAAGCATACACCATTATGTCCTGCTACGAAATGTATTTAA